AGTCACATGTGCTACAGAGGCTTTTAAAAAATGCCCTCTGGTGATTTATAGTCACCCTCCTTGGACACGAGTGGATCTTTTCACATGAGGATGCAGTAGCAAGAAATGTCTTTCAGATGTGAACATATCTTTGTTTTACTGCTGATCACGCCATGAGTGAGAAAACTACTGGCTGCCCCTTCTGTAGGAGTCTCGTTATCCTCACACTGCATGCAAGCCTCTTCAATTACATCATAGTATTTCAGCTCTTTGACACCTTACCAGGAGAACAACCTGCATAGGAAGTCTTCTGCAATAATTGTGGGAGAGAAATCAATACGCTAAAACTTTCAGAGAAGACAAGTGAAAGATGAGATCACGCCATTCCTAGCAAGCAAGCACTAACTCAGGTGATAAAATTTTGCATATATGTGACATCAGTACAGTGCAAACATCAAAAAGAAATGGTTTGCAAACTTCAGACTATGATCAGATGTGAAAACAAGGCAGTATGACACACAGAAACAGGAAAACAAATTGCTGAATCAACAGTGGGGCATTAAGGAGCATGCAAGCCTACAAACAGACTTCTTCAGCATTATGCCAGAGAAGAAAGCAAAATTCCAGTCACAATTTTAATTTGGCTTTGCTTAAAGACATGATCATAATACCAGTGTGATCATGTCAATTACAAGAAGAACAGCATGGAAAAGTATATAGGCTAAAATACCAGGGAATGCAAACATTGCCAGCCACTGCTTCCTGCTAAAACAAATGCATGCATGTAGCAATGCTAAACTTGGAAAACAGTAGTCAAACAAAAAAATACAGCTAAAGCAGATTATGCACCCTAGGACCCTTGCTGCTATACTTTTCAAGACCCACTTTGTAATTAATCTTAACCCAACTATTTTTTAATTTTAAATTCTCAGAAAATGCATCTTTTTGCTAAAGATCAGGATATGCTGGATTTAGTGTAAATAACTAAAGCAGCCGAGTACCTGGTCTTTATGCAAAACCAAGGTCCACCTTGACCATGATTTTTGTGCTTCTGCAAAAAACAAATGTTGACCTGTTCTCTGCCAGTTACTTGCCTCTGTCCATCAGAATACCTGCTGGGACTGATTCTCAAAGCCCCAACCTCCCAGCTACTGTAATTTGCTTGAGCAGGTACAGGTGTGAAGGTAAATGTTCCACTGTTGGGTTTTTCCCTTCCAAGAGTGTAAAGGTATTTCCATTCAGCCATCCAGGTCTCTGAGTATGTCTGACCTATTGAATGAAGGAAAGAATGTCCTTTTTAAAAGTTCTGTGGAGCACTCGACTCCCCATTTGTAATTAGGCCTGTTCACGTGTGCTTAGATGGTGAATAACAAATAGCCATAGGATTTACGTTCTCAACTGTAACTACAGTCTGCTAGCTCTTGGAGGCTCCATCGTGCCAGGCACTGTACACACCTGAATAAGAAGGCAGCTACGTGTTCGGAGAGAGTCCTGGTTTACCTGTTTCCTGGTACCCCCAGACTTCTATATTGACGCGTCTTGTTGGCAGCGTCTGGTTCATCCAGGTGACAGTCAGGGTTCCTCCTGTGTTCGGTGTGCCATAGTACTGCCATTTTGTGGCATTCACAAGTGTGCATTTTTCCACAGCTGACACCTTGCTGTGATGTACTGCATTGGGGAATGGACGATGAGTTAATATTTACTTGACACAGCACTGAAGATAACAGTATTGTTGTAAGCAGGGGGTTGGAAAAACAGGGACCTTGCGCAATGAACACAGTAACCCCCTGGGAAAATTAGTCTTTTGGCCAGCTTTGAATTCTGCACAGGAGTGACACCCCTCCAGCAACAGGTGAAAGAAGGATCGAGCCCTTTTTGCTATAGATGAGGCAGATGGAGTGGGGAAAACAACTTTTCAGAGGCTACCTAAAGCGGAGTCCCTGGAGGGAAGTACAGAGGTGGCCAGAAGGGAAGAGTCTGTTGGGAAGGGTATAAAAACAAGAGATACTGTACAATTCCCTTTGTAACAAACATGGAAATAACCCTTCCCCCCACCCACGCACACCTGATAACCAGTTTCCTGAATAGGGAAATGTGAGGCCATTGTCTCTGGAAACCTCAAAGGGAATGAAGCCAGTCTCATACAGCAATGGTGAGATGCAGTGGGCTTGACCATCCTGAGCAACATAGCCACTGATCTGAATCTCCTGCTTGAACCTGTTAATATTAAGAATGGTCTTCAGTGTGGGTGCTGAGAGAAGGAAAGTCATGAGCACCTCAGCTGGATTTTAAGTGCCAACTGGCCTGTGGGGGGTCATTCCTACCTCCCTCTTGTCTCCATTTGGCAGGTTTAGCTTGATACTTTGTTTAGTGATGGCCACAGATGTGAACTTTGTGCTGTATTATTTATGACAGAAGTGTGGATTGTGCTGTGCAAGGTACAAACGCACATAGATACATAGATTTTTAGCTTGCAGTCTCACAAGAGGCATGATAAATGAGTAACAAACCAGCAAAGGGGAAGAGGAGAACAAGAGTGACGGTGATAAGATCATGGGGCTAAATTGGTTACAAGTGGCTGTCACAAACAGAAATTCAAAATGTTTCTGTTATTATAAAAGTAGTCTTTATCAAATGCTAGACTGCTTAGAACTCCCTTAACATCGTTCCAATTTCTCCTCTGCAAAAGTAACCCATGGCTCTACTCTCTGTTGCTGTCACTATAAGCCATGTCTGCACTCCCATAGGTGATGGATGCAGGATTAATTTCCTCATGTACAAGAATGTTGCAGTAGACAGACTCCCAGTCTGGACTCTGTCTGGTTCAATAGATACAAATCTGTGTATTTAAACAAGCAGATCTGCTGGTTTCCTCCCCCTGAAAATGTTGGCAGATGTGCCGCTCAGTCTCTTCCACCCCCACATGTAGTTCCAGAATGGCTGACATTATTGGGGTCTTGAAGCTATGAAGGAGCCACATCTAGCGCTGCAGGGAAAAGTGGGAGGTGTATCTAGAACCATCTCCGCCAAGCTTTCTGGGCAGGAGAGGATTGACTTGTACCCACCTGTAGTACCTCTATCTGCTGAGATGGCCCCACAGCCTCTACTAGAGACACTGTCAGTGCACATGGGGATTGACTCAGGTGGATGACGTTCAGCAAATCACCTACATCAGTCGCTGCAGGCCTGCGGACCCTGTCTCAAATCCAGCAGCAGGACACCTTGACCGGAATACGCAGTTATGTTGATCTAATTCTGTTTCTGTTCTGGGAAATTCCTCTGTGCTTGTATAACAGACTGGAATGCTAGAAAGTGTGGTGTGTGCAACTCCTGGAAGTGCTCCCAGGTACTGAATGGCCTGTTCTCGGGTGTATGAGAAAGGAATAACCTAGCAATAAGTTGTTCTCTTACAGTAATGCTTATCAAGCTTTTTAGACTCAAGGCACTCCTGGGTAGACTCAAGGGACTCTTTGGAAAATGTCAGCTCTTACCTTTCACTTTATTGTCAACTACAGAAAAAATAATAGAACAATTCTTTGGTTGCAAAGAACTCAGAAAGACCACAGCAGGTCAGAATGCGGATTCCTATTTGAAATCTTTTGAGTTTATCTTGTGAATCACACCTCACAGTGCTAACATTGCATGACAGCCTTGAAAGGATCTCAAGACATCCTGGGGTGCTGTGGCACTGTGGTTAAGAATCACTATCGGACAGGAGCGCATGGAACTTAGAGCACACACCTGTGAAATAATAGATCAGGAGGTAAGGTTGTACTGCTGTCTACAAACATCCTATTCTGTTCCCCTGTATAACTGCTGACCTAAGAAAGGTGCCTACCATGCTGGAGTAAAAAGTTTAAATCACAACTCACCTGCATCTCACATCAGAGGAGGCATTGAAAGTAACATTCAAAATCTCAAAGTCTTTGCCTCCCATCAGGGACCCTGAGTATGGAGAGATTTGCAGACAAAATTCCCTGTAATCAGGACAGCAATCCCCCAGGGACTTGCAGGTCACCTGGCAAGAGCACTTGCCCAGCATCTTCCCACACTGGCGGGAGCACGAATCTTGAGCTTCTATTAAAAAATTGAAAAACAAATCTTGTTAGGAATGGAGTTGTGCAAGCCTTAGTTTTATCAGTCGCTGGAAAAGCCATGGCAGCAAGAATCCCAAAAAGCAGTGACAAGTGAAAGGCAGCACCTTTCTTGCCCATGAAGAACACTGGCAGCTAATTTAGTTTGCTCCGCCAGTATTCAGTCCATGCCCTGTGGGCACCTAGCATAGCTCAGGCCAGACACCTTTAACGAGCCAGTGCAAATCCAGTCTCAATTTCTCAAAAGCTGATTATCTAGCTCTGCCTCATTTTGCCTGTTTAAAATGCAGTTATGAAAAAAAAAACCTTAACTGAAGTATGGGCAGGAGTGGAGGGAGGGAAATCAGTTCCAGCCACCCTGGGTAAAGAGCAGATGCTTCCAGTTTGCCCTACTACTTTCATGGGGAAGAAGCATGTCTTGTGCCAACCTTCCAGTAGGGAGAGAAATTGGCTTAGCCCCACCACAGTGGGGTGAGTGGGGACAAAAATGCCTGCTGTGTACATAGAGAAAACCCATATCTCTCAAAAAGCCTTTCCCTGGAGGTCTGTCTTGATGCTGCTTTGAATCCCTGCATATAGGACAATGAGGACAGTTTGGCCTCATGAAGAAGACCTTGGTCATTCCACAGAATGTGGGGAAGGAGATGGTAAAGGGACAGAAGAGCAGTATGTATCACAGTCACTCTCTCCTCTGGGATCTCTGACTGTGATAAGCTGCTTGAATTTCTCTGTCAAAGCACATAATATTGCTTCAGGTTATAAGTGGGGAAAAAAGAGAGATGACATATGGGTTATGACCATGTTTACATTAAGGGAATCTGTTCACATAAAAAAAGATGATTGTTCATCTGGGTTTGCAGACATAAAACATGTAAAAGGAAGGAAGGAATGGATGGCAATGACAAGTGCAGCAGATGCTCTCCTTGTTGTGTCTACGTAGCCACCAATTTCTGTCCCAAGTAAATGTGTCCCTGTGCCTGCAATACGTGCTGTTTCAAAGGTCTCAGGTGAGGGGTCGGTGACAGTGCACACTGTTTTTATAGCTGTGCATGAAGTATGCACTTGAACTGTATTGGGGAATAGAATGATTATCATCACAAACACTGATAAGATTAGATGCTGACACCAGGGTTTTCTTTGCCATGTATTGGCCCATTGAGTGGTGGGGGAATGGGGGGAGGGTTCCTGAAAGAAGTCTGGATGAAACAATGGAGTTACAACCTTTGAACATAGTTTAATCTTTAATGCACAGCCATTTTGTGTCAGCAACTCTTACAGCTCTTCCCATGAAGAGGTATTGCACAGTGGCTTTTATACACTTTAAAATGGGTTTGTTTGGAGGAGTGGATCAGGGAGAAAGTGTCTCATTTGCCAAGGCCAGGTCCCCTGAGACTGACTTCTTCCCATGAAGGACAGGGCATGGTTCTCAGCAGCCTGTCAAGCTTTGCTTATAGTATTTGCTTTTTAAAAGTCATTCAGAGCCAGTCGTGTCCCACAGGTTAGTGTTAGTGATTACGTCAGCAGCTCCGACCGTCTGGGAGTTACTATTGTCAGAGCTCCTTTCACATGAAGTAATGCTGCATTTCAGGGGGGAAAATGAATTGTGCCGCATGAAGACAACAGGTACGTGACAGAGGAGCCTACATTAAGAAGAGACACCAACTCAGGTGCGTATGGCGCAGTGTTTACAAACCCCACTATTTTTCCCCTAGTCTGAATATGTAGGACTTGGCTATCAGAGGTAGACACTTTTTTTCCCCTGCGCAGAGGCAGAAACACTAGTAAGCAGGAAGCAAAGGCTGGTTGAGGCGATGGGAGCAGACACTTTTCTTTCCTATTTTCTAACGTACTGCTCAGAGCTGCCTCCAGCGTGGCCGTGCCTTGTTTTGCACCCGCCTCAAGTTTAAAGAGCAGTGCTGCACCTGTGAACATCTGCGTGCCTGAGGGGGCTGCAAGGCGTGTGGGGGACAGGACACGGGCCGGCAGGCAGCGGGTGGAAGGGCGGCCCGGGCCGGGCGGCCCTCCTGGGTGCTGCGGGGCTGCCGCCGCCCCAGGCGCTCTGCCCTTCGCCCTTCGCAGCCGGGGCGTTGGGAA